TATCTATCTATCTATCTATCTATCTATCTATCTATCTATCTATCTATCTATCATCTATCTATCGTCTATCTATCTCCTATTCGTCTGCCGATTTATCTATCTATCTATCTATCTATCTATCTATCTATCTATCTCCTATTCATCTGCCGATTTATCTATCTATCTACCTACCTACCTACCTAACTAACTATCTAATCATATATTATCTACTTTTCATCAAAAATAACGTATATTTTTGGAGCACATGAAAGCCATTGCATACAATGATGTAACTGATGCACAATGCACTTGCTGATGTCACAACAGACATGAATTAGATCCAAATTGAGATTTGAAAGACATCATCAAAAGTTCCGTAAGGTAATGCAAACACCATCCAGTATTTTTGGGACAAGGCGGAACAGAAGGAGCATTTTTTTTTTGCAGCCCTTGCAGGAATACATACACAACATCGGTTGTGTGCAGTCAACAAGAATGCTTCTGGTAAAGAAACGTAGTTGCAGGGCTCAAAATTAGTAAATCAATACGAGGCAAAGGGAGCATTTAAAAAAGAGTTTGCTTTGTGGCTCCTGTTTTCAATCTCTCTCTACAGCAACTTGGAAGGCTTTTTGACAGAAGACAAAATACAGCATCTTATGATGATTCCTCCTTCTCCTTCTCAGCTATGTAGAAGCAGCTGGTTTGAATGATTTTGCTTGTTTCAGTGGGAGTATGAGAACAGTGTGAGATTAAACATGCCTTATCCAGCTTTAGAAATTGAGATCACATTCAACTGAAATAGGTGGGCCTTTCTATGGCCTATGAACAACCTGGCAAGCTGCTGCGTTTTGTTTTTAAACTTATCTGAATTGTAATTATTAAAAGAAGTGTATGATTCACCTTCCCATTCTGATGAAAGCTTCATTAGAGGGCAGCCAATAAGATCCATCGATGATATATTTCAGCTACTTACTTGACAGTTGTTTATCATTTGGAGAGACATCGATACACATTGATGTTAGAACTGAACACGGATTCGTTATAAAATAAATGTTCCTTTTTTTCCCTGTGGTCGGGTGCCTGCTCAAGTCAATATTAAAACATGCGGAACCAATGTCAAAGGTGCAACAGTCTTATTTGGTCTGCAGAAAATAATACCGATATATACAAGAAATTGTTAAAATCCATATTGTGTATTGAATCAAGTACGGCTTGTGTTAAGTATATTCACCAAAATTATTTCTTGACTCATGCTTGATATTCTAAGTTTGGCCCTGAAGCTGCATACGCAGTAAACCCCAGTCTGGGCTTCCAATGAACTCATACTAGTGAAGGAAGTTCCCACCCCTCTGCTAGAAAAATGTAATATCCTAGGAAATATTAAAAAGGCAGAATATTATATTTCCCTGGATGAGAAATGGAGAAACATGTTTTTAGGCAGGAAACAGACTCACTCTTAATACACTCCCCTTTTGTCAATGAGCCATTAAGGCCTGAGCCAGTCTATTCTACATAACAAAGCACCACCCACCAAGTTTCAATCAAACTTAGCACACAACCTACAAAGCTAGCTATGACCTCTGATAGCAACAAATCAGGATACTCTTCCTGTGCCCCAGGAAGTTCAAAGCCCAGAGAGGGCATAAAACCCAGGGACTCTCAGCATCTCTTCCAGAGGTGGGTTACTACCAGTTTGCACCAGTTCAGTAGAACCTGTTTGTCAAATCTACCGAACCGGTTAGAAGAGGTTCCACCAGAAAGCAGGCCACACCTACAGAAGAGGTTCCAAAATTTTTTGAAACCCACCACTGACACACACACACACACACACACACACTCACACAGAGAGAGAAAGAGAAAGAGAAAGAAAGAAAGAAAGAAAGAAAGAAAGAAAAAAAAANGGACTTCAACTCCCAGAATTCCCCAGCCAGCCCTCAGGAGTTAAAGTCCATAAGTCTTAAAAGTTGCCAAGGTTGGACATCCCTGATGTACTACTTACAATACTATCTTTTTACTCCTAGTTGGAGAGGCTGTCCTCAGCTGGGATTTGGGGAAGCCTTTTCCTTTTCACACTTCTATTTTAAGTTCATGCAGAATCATAAGACAAAAATCCAAGGAGTGTCCTCCATGTAGATTATTCAGATATTTACACCAAAAATCCCCACACATAGAATGGACCACAAGCAAAGCTGTACAGCACAATTTTATGTAAAAAAGAGGGGGAAATAACTTTGTACTAAGGCTTTACTTGGCCTTCAAGCAACATGCTGGGGGATGTATATTTTTTTTAAGTAGATAGGGCCAAGACAAAAGCTATAATTTGTTTTATTTTGTTTCCATTTAAAAGTAATACAAGTTAATATAGCCCTGTTAATTATAGTAGAAAGCACTATACAATTAACCTTTTGATGTTATATGTTACATTCAGTCTTATGGTCTCTGGTTAATTTATTTGCTTCTCTAATCTAGCACCATGGTATTTTCTGGGGTCTAAGGAGATTCCCAGTCATCCAGGTTGTCTCAAAGGTGCTTTTTTCAAGAGGCACCTGGACTTTCTTGTTTTTCTTGAAGTCGTTTCACTTCACATCCATGAAGCTTCTTCAGCTCTGACTGGTTGGTGGGGAATGGAAGGATTTCTGGTTAATTTTCCAACCCTAGACTAACTTAATCTGGCTCTGCTTAGCATTTTGCTACCTTCTAGAGGCCCTTGATGGACCTAGTTTGCAGCAAGAAATATATATGTATGTCCTAGACTTACAACATTTCATTTAGTGACCATTCAAAGTTACAGCAGCACTGTAAATAAATAAATAAATAATCACCATTTTTCACACTTACAATCATTGCAGTATCCCACGGTCACATGATCAAAATTCGGGAGCTTGACAATTGGCTTATATTTATGACCTGTTGGAAGAAATGTCCCTTCTGGGTTCAGTTCCAAGTGGGGGAAAAGACACTGGAAACATGGAGGCTGCTTGNCTCAGGGAAAAGGGCGGCATATAAATTTCCAATAAAATCCTAAAAAATCCTAAATCCTAAAAAAACAAGATGGCGGTGCCTATGGCGCCACCGGAATAACCAGTTCAGGGGCATGGCAAGCCTGGGTCACTGCCAGTCCCAGCGACCCAGGCCACCAAAGTACTACCAGTTCAGTCGAACCGGTCCGAACCGGTAGGAACCTACCACTGGTTTAATTGTAAAAGGTCCATCTGGAATCACTTTCTGCTCAGCAGACTATATATAATCAAGGCCAATTAAACAATGGCTTTGTGAATTATTGTCTTTCTCTTGGTGATTGGTGAATAATCTATAACAGAAGCCAAAAAAGTCCTGAGTGATTTCACTAAACACATTTCCCACCAACCGTCTTCCTCATCCATCATCTGCTTCTTCAAGACCAACAAGATGCCATTTTATTTCTTTTGTTGATTCTAGTTCCGGTTTCAAAGCCTCACGTTGCCTTGGCCTCCTCAACTGTGCTGGAGCTGAGTGAATATTTCTCTTTCAATTGTTCCCACGAGAATGGCACTAAGCCCTCCTATACATGGATGAAGGACAACAAGCCTCTTAGCAATGACTCTCGGCTGATCCTCTCCCATGACCAGAAGATCCTCACCATCACTAGAGTTCTGATGGCCGATGATGACACTTACAGCTGCCTGGTAGAGAATCCCATCAGCAAAGGACAAAGTGCGCCTGTAAAACTGACAGTGTACAGTAAGTACGGGATGCACAAATCTATGCACATGGCAGTTGCACAAAATCTTGAATTGTAATATTTTTATTCTTGTTTTAAATTGTTTTTATTGTAATATTTATGCAGCGTTTTAATGTTTTTATATATCTATTTGTTCACTGCCCAGAGTCACTCTGTGACTAAGATGGGCAGTAGATAAATATTATATAAAAAAAATAGAATAATTTTTTATTAAGTTTTATGTTAGGATAAAAATTAAACAAAAATTAGAAAGAGAAGAAAGGAAGGAGGAAAGAGAGAAAAAAAGGAATGATTTCCAATTTTATTTTGGTGCAGTAGCAAAAGAGCCGAGGTGGCGCAGTGGTTAAATGCAGCACTGCAGGCTACTTCAGCTGACTGCAGTTCTGCAGTTCGGCGGTTCAAATCTCACCGGCTNTAGATAGATAGATAGATAGATAGATAGATAGATAGATAGATAGATAGATAGATAGATATAGATACATAGATAGATACATAGATAGATAGATAATTTGGTGTGACTCTCCTAATGACCGCTTTACTTAGTGACAAATTCTACAGTCCTGATTGTGGTTCAGTGGAGGGTTCCTACCAGTTCGGCTGAACGAGTAGTGGTTTGGCGGCCTGGGTCGCTGGAACCGGCAGCGACCCAGGCCTGCCATGCCCCCGAACCAGTTCTCTGGGCGGCGCCATAGGCACCGCCATCTTGTTTTTAGGTTCTGCGCATGGGCAGAACAATTTTTATTGCTCTGTGTATGCACCCGCAGTGCTTTCACAAACGAACCGGTAGTAGCAACTGCTGGAACCCACCCCTGTTGTGGTTATAAGCTAAGGATTACCTGTAAAGGAAAAATCTTCAAGGATTTCTTGAAGAATGCCATATTTGGTTTCCTAGTGTAAAAATGGTTTGCCATTGCTTCTTTATGAGATGGTTTCTCCACTAGCTCTAGCCCCTGGGTAATCTCCATTTAGTACTAACCATTTAGTACTAACCACGTCTAACTCTGTTTACCAACCAGGTGCTGCCCCCTGCTGAGACATTTTGCTTGGAATCTCTTTATTCTTTTTTTTTTTATTAGTTTATAACATCAAATACAAAAATGAAAATGAAAATAGTAGGAAAATAGGGCAGGGAGAAAGGAAGAGTAAAATGTAGGGAAAGGAGGGGAAGGAAAGAAAAAGCATTTCTTTTTATTTTGATATAATAGTATAAAGTAGCCATTTCTATAACAACAAACCTCTAATCGGTAAAAACAAAAATCAAAGTTTCATTTTTTTTCCACCTCAAGAACAAAGTCCGGAAGCAGTTTCCAAATAGAAAGAAAAGTAATTGGTTTTTTCCCCCCCTTTAATCAAAGCAGTCAATTTAGCTGTCTCTGCTTACTTGGAATCTCTTTATTCTTATCCATGAGGGCTAGGAACTTAGGTCTAAGGAAAGGGCATCATAGGGGCAAAGCACTTGTTTCTCTATGTAAAAGGCCACAGTTTCAGTTCTAAATATCTATAGCAGCCTTTGCCAACCTTGGCAATTTTGAGGTATGTGGACTTCAACTCCCCAAATTCCCCATCCAGTAGAGCTTTTCTGTTTCACATAAACCAATCCATGACTTCAGAGAAGAAAGATGGCTGGTGACTTTCTGGACAATCTCAAAATGCATTGTGGAGGGCATCGTGTGGTAAGTCAGTAAGTACCAGGCCAATCCAGCCTCAAGATAACTCTTTCTACCATTATCATTTTCTTTTAATGACTCCATAATCCCTTGCCGGGTGGAGTCTTGGCAACTGAATGGAGCTAGCAGAATGTTTTAATGGCCAGATGCCCTTCCTGTCACCAATGCGGAGTTTTGTTCAGTAGATATATCCTCATTGTGCCCAGAGGGAGAAATATTTGCCTCTACCAAGCTCGAACTCACAGCCTCCTCTAGGCCATCGCACCACTCCTAATAACTCTCCATATACCAGGAAAAATAAATTAAATTGCTCCAGAGTCTGAAATGTTTAACCCCAGAAGAGGATGTCCATCGTATCTCTGCATGATGTAGCGCCCTAATATTTTCTCCATCTAATCCAACTTGAAGGTGGGTGGATTTCAGTTCCTAGAATCCCCCAGCCAGCATTTGGGGAATTGAAGTCCACCCATTTTCAAGGTGCCAAGAGACTCCAACTCAGTATATCTCTGTTGTACATCCATACCTGGATTGGAAGATTATGGAGAAATCTGATATATTCAGCTATCTCCCTTCCTTCCTCTCGCCCAGGTTGCTAAGGTGGCTAAATAGCAATAGCAATAGCAATATAGCAATAGCAGTAGACTTATATACCGCTTCATAGGCCTTTCAGGCCTCTCTAAGCGGTTTACAGAGAGTC